TGATCGGACATGACGAAAGTGCTGTAAATACCGAGTAAAATGGATGTTGTCTTAACATGGCTAAGAGCAAGTGTAGTTGGTAGGGGGGGGCGCCTACTACTACTACTACTACTACTACTACTTCTACTACTTTCTACTACTTGCTACTACTAGCTACTACTAGCTACTACTAGCTACTACTAGTACTACTACTAGTACTACTAGTACTACTACTACTACTACTACTACTACTACCACCACTACCACCACAACTACTACTACCACTACCGTACAAACCGAGCAGGCACAGAGACTTGCAAACACAAGGTTCACAGGCCATGTGCGCACGAGCTTAGGTCCGAAACCATGGAGAAAAGTCTTCCTTTCCGGCCTTGTGGTTTTGGTAGATCGGCGAGTTTCACAGGTACGTCGGCCAGTTCGAGCCCGGATCAACCCCCCACCCCTCCGTACGCAATGTGCCTTACACGCCTTTCGTGTGGGAAAGGGGTTCGAAGTTTCATATTCATGAGTATTCTGTGTGTGGTTGAACACTTCTTTATTGCATCTTTGAATGCAGAAACAATCAACTTGGCGCAACTGCCACCAAGACTACATTGCCTTTTCGCCCAAGAAGTTTCGGCGGACACCAACAAGACTAAATGGAATCACCATTTCGTCCAGTGTGTGAATGCACGTCCATAGTATTCGCTCTGGGGGCAGACTCGCTGGCAAGCCTACCGCCTTTCCGGGGGGACAAAGGATTCAAGGATTGAACAGGACTGAAAAAGTGGCACCCGCTGGCAATCATCTGACCTTTTGCGAACAGAAGTTGAGACGGGACTTGACGGAATGAGAGATGAGATATGCCAGGTTGCTCAAGGCGCAGTTGTGGACGGCATGAACAAAGAGGCGAAACTCCTGCGGAGAGATGCCCCGCAGGCCTCATCGAAACCACCAGGGCCCGGCTCCGCCTGCGGTGGCCCAAAGGCGGAGCCCGGTTTTCTCGGCTTCCGCTCCGGCCTCGACAGCCGGGGCCTCGCTGTGCACGGAGTTGTCGCTCTCGTCCTCCATGGTCGCCCTGGCGAAAAGCGAAAAGCGGAGGCCGAGGCCGGCGCGGGAAGGCAGCGGGCGTCTCCGCGCGCCTGCTCATGCCGGTGCCAGGCCTTCTCCCCGTGCCGGGACGAAAACTGGCGGCAGATGCAAAAGCGTAGGAACAAGAAGCAAAGGCAGTAGCCGCCATAACTCTCCTTCTTTGCAGCCTTGAGCCTGTCCCCCGAGATCTGTTTGCAGTGCTCAGGCGGCCTCAAGCTCGGACATGCGATGGACTCCGATGGACATGCGAGGCCGCCTGAAGAGTTCATCGTCAAGGTGAAACCTGTGGCACAGCATCAACCCGGGTTGATTGGGTAGCATATGACAGCACAAGTGTCAGGCCAAGCGCTGAGATGGCACGCTCTACACTTCCGTCCGAATTCTGCTGGCTCGCATGCCCAATTGCGCTTCTTGACGGCCTCCAGTTGATCCCATGTTTGACAACTTGCCAGTGCCCCCGAGGTTGCTTTGTGCACCTGACATGGCACACGTCTCACGGAAAAACACAGATGGCCTGCTTTCTGCCTGTGCTCGGGCGGGACCCCGCCGTGCCCACTCTCGTCCCCGTCAATGGCCTCTGGACAAAACGCAGCACCAGTGCCAAGCATAGACCTGCAGCGTTTTTTGCTCCAGGCCTGACACCGGTGCCTGGCCGCATCTTCTGCCTGGCCTTCTCGTCAGCCATCGCCTGCACATGGCGCACTTCTATGGCAGTCTCCAAATCTTTCAGAACCCGCCTTGAGCTGAGCCAGCGCGGCCTCGGCAATCTCGGCTGCTTGGCCTGTGATAATTGGCTGGAAAGTCTCGTCCTGTTCGGGGCAGCTCTGGCAGCTCTAGCCTTCAACTTGAGCCATGCCATTCAGGAGGTTCGCAGCCTTCCCAGTCCAATGTTGTTTCGCTGCAATCTTCTGCACCGTAAAAGTAGCTCTGCCTCCTTTCTGACCTCAGCACTCTTGTTCTCCGAGGCCTGCGAGAGAGCCGCCGCGGCAACTCGGATGGTTCTTGCCGGACCTGATCGGACCTGCCTTGAGAGCATACTCCGCCAGGGCGTTCCAGGTCTCTGACGACCAGCCAGAGGCGCGATCCTGCACTCGCTTCACCTGTGGCGGTGTGAAGCGGTACGAGCTTCGCGACATCTTCAGAAGCCGAGTTGAGGGTCATGCCATTTGACCGAGCAGCTGCAGCCGCGGTCCAGCACTGCGGTCGCTACCTCAAGCCCCCCTGCTTGTGTCCGCTTGATCTGTGCCTGTTGCTTAGATACACCAGGCGTGATGCCATTCCGGTCAACGGCTGTTTGTGATGCACATGTCCACGCGCTGCCTAAGTCAAAGTCGATATATCGAGGGCATGGCAGCTCTAACTTGGTTCAGGTTGATTTTTGAGGGGGGCGCCACTGGCAACGCATTGCACAACCATCTCGCTCAACGCGTTGCCATGCAAGGCTCCAACCTCTGCATGCTTGATGGTGCCGGCCGTGCCGGCTGTCTCAGCAAACGTTCCCCGCCTCTAACGTGGTCTCCACCGCCTTCTGCCTCACCTGACGGCCAAGGCGGTGGAAGAGCTGTGAGATCCAAGCCCGGCCGCCCGGCCCTGCCCGGCCCGGCCCGGCCCTGCGCGGCCCTGCCTTCTGGCTGGTGTCGAGCAGCCGCGCGAAGAGCTGGGGAAGCAAAGGCTCCAAGAAGAGCGGCGCGATGTACAGCGGCACCTGGTCTCTGGCAAATGCGCCATGCGCTATGGTTTTTTGACTGCAGGATTCTGTTGTTGTTGGTTTCTGTCTTGGCTTCCCGCATGGCTGCAGATCAGTCGGAGCAGATCGGCGGCACCCACAAACACGGCCGTCACCGTGTCTGACAGCAAAGCCGATAGCTGGGCCTCTGATGTCGGGGCGACTTGCCATATCAAGCTGGACTTGGCACTGGCCTGCAGCATTGAAATTCTAAGCCCCGACAGCACCTGCATTTCGGACACTTGCGAAGCATAGACGGCAATGCTTGCGAAAAGCCGAGGGGCCAACGTATTGAGACAGAAGTGGGCCTGTGGCACCAGCCCCCTCGGCATCCTTTTGTAGCAGTCTGCTGTTACCGCGTCTGTGCAGACATTCCGACTATACAGTACTTCACAACTTGGGACGGTCCGCCAGGCACTTGACACCGCTGCCAGCTGTGAGAAGCTCCGAAGCCAATTTGCTGATACTCTCCGCCCGCTCCTGCTCGAGCTTTGAACTTCACACCGCTCACATCGCTCACCGATTGAACACCCTCCGCACTGCGCACCTGCCAGTTCTTGCTTGAGAAAGACTGACCGAAAGCCTCGGTTCAGAACAATTGCAAAGACATCTGTGGTAAACGGGCCCAGTCACCCACTCATTATCACTGCTGTCGTGGCAACCCGAGCAAATTCGACAGCACGTGCAGGCAGTAGTAGCAGATAGTAGACGCATCTATGACGACGACGCGGCCGCATAATCATGTGTCAGAAGACATTGAAAGCTTGTTGGTATGGAACCGCAGCCAGCAGCAAAACAGGCAAATGGCCTCTGCCGCTCCGTCATCAGCGCCCGCTTGCTCGGAACCGTCAGTCGGCGCCGCAGGCGGCCTCGCACCCAAAGTATGTTTGTACAGATCTTGCAGTCAGAGCCGAGCCAGCAAGCTGCGCCGGAAATACCTTCGACCTGCAATCCTTGCAACCTTACTTTGACAACGTTCTGCGAAGCTCTGCACTTTCGAAGGCTTGCTCGCATAATCAGCAATGGCAGGTCTTCCGTCATGATGGACATGAAAAGCAGCTGTTCCTGAGAGTCGCTGCACCTCGTTTGAAGGACTTCCACGTTTTTAAGGTGACTGAATGAATCATTTGAGTTACTGCATATACAAACCCAAATCGGAATGTTCTTACAAGGGGTTATGGCTTCGTTTAAACCGGCAGCGACATGTCGCTACATCTTCAACTTGTTGAACCTGCTTCATGGCCTGGCAGCCAGGTAGCCAACAAGTCCCTTGTGCTGGCAGCTCGGCCAATCGGTTGCACTTGCACTTGCCTTTCTGAAAGATGCAAGCAGTGATGGCCTTACACCTTACGCCTACCGCCCCGTGACTCTGTGACTCCCTCGAGCGCGTTGCGGCGCCTGGCAATCTCGGCCTCGTCTGGAAAGAGAGGGCTCAGAAGAACAAACTCAGGGAGTTCTCCGTCTCATTGCTAAGACGACTTCCTGGCCAGCCTGGAGACTGGCCCAGACCTGCAAGTGACTTCAGTGGACTCTTCTCACTTTGGCGGTGTTGCACCTGCTGGTTCAGCTCGGATGCACAGATGAAGGAACCTTGCGGGGCAGCTTCAAGGCTCGGGGGTCTCAGTCGTTGCAACAGCTGGAGTGCTGCTATGCCTGCACGACTATCGTCTGCCACAATGTCCTGTCAGCAAGCTGGCTTACCAAAGCGGGATCATGCAATCGTAGCCCACACAGCTGGAATCTCGTGTTGGTCTTCTCATGACTTCTCCACACTTCTCCATTCAAGTCTGAATAGGAAGAGCTTCCTACCCACGAGCCCTCGCCTCCTTGGCTGCGGCATCCTCATCGCACGCCACCTTTGACACGAGACGCGGCTGCTCAAACGGCGAAAGGTGACACCCCCACCTTTGAGGTCCTGACTGCCGACAAGAGGGCGATGCCCTCGTGGCCGGAAGCCAAACTTTCGATGCGCTTGCGGGCCTCGCACTGCACACGATACGGCTCAGATGCCTGTCATGGCAATTCCTGTGTGAGGCCTTGGGAGGAAGGAGGCTCCACAACCGCTCCTCCATGCCTCCGCTGAGCGCCTGCCCAAACTTCCAATTGACGTTGACGAATCATGGACCATGGATTTTCAACTACGTCATCGATGTGCGCACCAGCAGCTGCAGCAGGCAGTCGCCCGATGCTGCCCGGACTTTCGAGTGCTCCGCGCTGCATGCGAGGAGCAGCAGAGGTAGCACCTTTCTGGCAATCATTCCCACAACATCTGATAAACCTCTGCCAGCTGAAACCACGAAATCTAAGGTCAGCTCAATAGCACGCCGAAACAGGCCAGATTGCTGCAAGCCAAATGCGTTCAGCATGCGACCCAGCAACCTTGCACATCTGAGGTTAAGCTTCTGAGCGGCGAGCGACTATTGAAATAGACTTTCTCGCAACGCTCATGTGTGACGGGGGGCTTCAAGTTGGCTGCCAGACACTTCGGCGTCTTGGCCTGCTCTGACCGGTCCTGGACAGAACGGTAATGTAAGTGATGCAACATTCCGCGTAGAACGTCTGCGTCCCAATCCTTGGACCCTTGGATCGATCGAAGTCGCTCTGCGATTCGAGACAGCAAAGGCCAAGCCGCTTCGTCCAAAGGTACCTTCAGCTTCAACTGGCACTCCGTCGCTATGCGTGGTGCTTATTTAGATTCCTAGACAGCTCCAGGATTGCACAAAGCTAGGTGGCAGAACCGGAATGTGGCCACATGATCTGCGGTTTGACATGCTTTTGAGGGCTTAGCTACGAAGACCATGTGACGGACTGACTGATTGCTGACTCACATTGACTCACTGACAGCCTGCTTTCCTGGCTGACTGACTGGCACTTGGCCGGGTTGGTGGCAGCTGCATGCAAAGATCAGCTCTGTGCTCCACGATGCAACCGTAGCTGCTTGTAACCTCATGCTGCCTCGACTGTGCCCGAGCTCCCGGCGCGACCATGAAGCACGCAGGAACACAGCGCGGTGGCAGCTGCCTAGCAGCCCAAAATCCAGTATATTATTATGAAACTGTAACAGACCTTATGAATGCAAGTGCTCGCGGGGTAAGCGATGCACCTGCTGGGGTGAGGTAGCTTTGCTCGAACCACCACCCACATCGGTCTTGTCCAAAAGAACCGCCACAAGATTCTCAGTGTCCTGGTGGTCGGGCAAGCGATGCAGAAGCGCAATTGCAATTTGCAAACCAAGGCCGGGGCCGAGACCTCTTCGAATCGCAACATCCCTAAAAAGTCTTCTGTGCCTGCCACATGCCACATGACTCGGGTTGAGCTCTGCCTCGCAAAGGTCCGGGCTGATCTCATCAATACGCGCATCGGACAAGAGCTCTTCCAAGGTGGCGAGCGCCGCGTGAAACACCTGCCATCCGCCGCCACCGCCCCAACTTTTACCCTTCCGCGCGCGGGTCCACAGCTGAATGCCTTGGGCATCTTGTCCTTGGCAGCAATACGTGTGGCCTGCGAGTCAGCAGATTCGACGTTCAGGACGTTGGCGACTCTTCCACTGCCTCGCTCACAGCTCGCACCAAGTCCGCAGCATTAGTGTTCACCTGGCAGCTTTCTGATACATTTGGCTCTCATCTCTTTCAGGGTATGGAGAAGAGACTTCAGAGCACTTCGCGAGAGTTGGAAGCGCCTGGGCAAAGTTTTGGTGGACATAGGTATGGGCCTGTGCATAGAAGCTGTGCTGCGTTGCGGTCCACGCTCCCGGAAAACTCCGCTCTACTCGCTGTGTGCCTCAAGTCGGTCACGCCACTGTTCGCACAGCATGGCATCGTGAACCTGCACCATGCATCGGCTCAAGCAGCGCTACGCTGCCGTGCGATTGCCGTGCTGCAATGGCGATTAAGGACATCTTTGGCTCAGCGCACCATGGGGCCGAAGACGCGGTCGAGCAATGAGTCCATCGCTTCACGGGGCTCCCACTCTTCTCGAAACCTCGGAGACAGGCAAAGAGACAGTCAGCGCGGAGTGACAGGTTCGCGCCAGACGACGGCTGGGCTGGGTTCCCCGACGCCTCGAGAAGCTCCTGATCTTCGGGAGCCTCAATTGGAACCGAGAGGTCGACGTCAGGACGTCAGGAGGACAGCTCTGACCAGACTGAGAGCAGCCTCCGTTTCTGCCGCACTGTTCGTCAACGGCGGCAGCTGTCCCTCAGACCGCACTGCATGCAAAGTCTGAAGGTGGGGGCCACTGTTGCCCACTATTGGCCTTCATCATCTGCTTGCGCCGTGCTGGAGTGGATGGAACGCCTATACGTGGTTGAGCACTGGTCTCGAGGCTGCAGGGTTAGAGGGCGTGTGGCAGGGTCGTGGCGGGGTCGGCAGAAACTGCCAGCCCTGCCGAAGCCAGTGTGTCCCTCCCAGTACTTCAAGCACGACTCAGGTCCAACAACCCTTTAAAAGTACGACAACCCATGTTAAAGCGATGCTGCTTTCGAGCAGACTTACGACGACCTGTTTGGTCCAGGGGTGGCCTTCTGGTATCTGCTGCACCTCTGAGAGCAGCTCCACGAGCAGGTCGTTTCCTGCGCGCTCCGCCAGTCCTCAGAGGACTGTTGGGACTCTGATGGACTCTGGGCTTCTTATGGCTTGTGCCGAAATCTAATATCATGATTCGGACGACCGGCGAGGCCCAGACTCTTTGCCGTGTTTCCCTCAACGTCTTCGAGCAAGGCGGAGGCTCCCCGCGACAGGAGCAGCTCGGCACCTTGCGGGAAAGGGAGAGAGGCGACAGAAACCGCCTGTAAGGCCGCGCTCTGGCCAAGAGCCGACCTTCCTGGTTGCTCACCGCTGAGCACAGGTGCAGGGCGCTCCAGCCTAGACCTTCGGTCTTGGGCTTCCCTCACAAACTCTATTATAAGAAGCAATATAAAGCTTCCAAGACACTGCCAGGAGCTGCGTTGATGTCCGCACTGTGCCTTTTTTGGTAAAGCAAGATTCAGCATCTGCAGCCCAGTTGAAGGACGAGAATAAGTCAGAATAAGGACATGAAGAACCAAGGAGCTCCAGTAAGCACAGCATCAGCTCGTTGTGAGCAAGCATCGCGCAGACCTGCTGAAGTGAGGCATGGACAGGTTTTGGGCAAGATCGTTTTGCTGACCCACCTGGAGGCATGTGCGGGACTCTTCAAGAAGCACTCTGGCGGCGCCGTCCTCGTTTTCCTGGCACACGGACCGAATAGCCCGTCTCGTTAAGAATGCGTGATGACGCGACCTCTTCACTGGCCGGCCGTACAGGAGCCGCGCGCCCGGCCAGGTTCGAATCTGTAGCGAAATGACGAATGAGCAACTTGGATTAGACTGTGTAGTCGTTCGATTGACTTTGGGCAGGTCTTTCTTTGCCTGCACCCGCTGCCAAAAGCAGCTTTGCAAGGGTCGCCGCACCCATGAGGCAAGCCTTTCAGACAAGCAGGAACACGCGGCGCAGACACAAGGTGGTGCAGATGAATCCAAGTGCCTGGTAAAGGGGTGACCGCCCGTCCTCGTCCAGAATGTTGATGCGACCTTCCATAAGGACCAACTGTGCTCGGCGCCGATGCGTCGTTTCCCTGAGCATTTGGCCTCCGCGAGCCAGGACCGCTTCGACCGCCGGCACCTTTTCAGTGCACTCTTTCCGCTCTCCGGCTCTCCGCAGCTCATCGCAGCTCCGCGGATACCCTGGGCCTCACCGCTGATGACGGCGTGGAAGAGTGCGTTGCGGCCGGCCGAGTCGACTAAGTCCACCTCTGCAGATTCGTGTCTATGGAGAGTTTACAGTCAGCGGTCCAACATGCTCTCCCCACCGAAGCACCGCCCTCCAGGAGGAGCCCCGTCACCTGTGGCCGTAGAAAGGCTCTCTCTCTCTGTCAGGGCTGCGGTTGTCGTCACAGGGCGCGCCTCTGGGCGGCCCACGGCTTGCATCAAAGCGCTGCAGCCGGCCTCCAAGCGAGCAGAGACTCGGGGATACTCGGGGGCTCGAGCTGCCGTGCGCCGTGCCTTGTCCGAGAGATTCGGGTTGGCTTTGGCCGCAAGCAGCAGAGCCCTGAGCAGCTTCGGGGCAGAGCTCTGAGCTCAGCTGAGCGAGAGCTGAGCGCAGCGGCACTCCCTCTGCCAGGCCACGTTTGGAGGCCAGCACTGCGCAGGAAGGCTGTGCTACGAAGCTGGTGAGAAATCTCGTCCAGGGCGCACTGAGAGCAGAAGTGCCGTGTTCTGTCTGCAAGTCCAACTCGACGGCGTGGCTGGTCAACCACTTCCTCAGAAGTCCGAGAAAAAAACTGCAGAAGCCCTACCACTGGAAATGCGATTGAGCTGCATCAGCTTCAAGTTGCCACTCAAGGCCTGCGGTGGAGTTTCAAAACATCCAAGCTTCAGATCTCCTACAAGTGGAACAGAGGAACAGTGCCACCATGTTTCACTCATGCTCTTCACCAGGGTTCGCAGGCACGAGGTGAAACTGGGTGAGACCGAGGACCGGGAACCGGGACGGCACACTTGCAATGAAGCTCACGGATGTCTCAACCGGCATGTTGCAGGTGGGAGCTCCGTGTGTCAAACGGGCCAGCATGTCGTCCCGAAGGCACTGCATCCTCGCAGATCGCGCATGCAGGGCATTGCCGCGACGGGCTCTGAGTCCCTGACACCGAAGCTTCGGAGGATCTGGACGTCGAGGGCTCCTCCGAAAGAGACGGCTCCCCACACGGCAGGGGAGGGGGGGGGTTTTCTGAGAGGCGGAGCGGCTCTCTCCGCGCCTGGCCGAGCGGAGGCCCTCGGAGCCGAGCGGCTCCAGCGAGAGCTTCCCAACCCCGAGGCGCTCCTCGCAGCAGTGGCCAGCAGAGCCCTTTTTTTTCCGTTTTTTCCCCACTCCGCGTGGTCCTCCACTTCATCCAAGTCCTGGCATGGGTCGAAAGGTCTAAAGAGTCTAAGGTCGAAGTGCCAACTCGTCCTCGTGTGGTTGCAATCGACAACGGCGGCGCAGGCGGCGCAGTTGCCGCATCTGAGAGAAAGACGAGCCCTATCTCTGCCTGGTGCAGCGCCGAGCGGCCAAAGGCGCCTCCTTGCGTCTTCGTCCGTGTTCTGCTCCAAGCTGGCTTCGAAGCTGGTCGAGCTCCAAGTCCACGATCTGCATCTCACTAAACGCTAAACATGTGACAACACGGACAACACGGAGCAGGGAAAAAAGCTCGACCTCAGCCGGCTTCCTGATCTGATTTATGGGGCAGAAGCGCAGCCGTTCCTTCCACAGGGGAACAGCGCTGAACTTCTAGACTCGTCGAAGCAATGTCGCACTCCTGGGGGCAGACGGAAGCCTTTTTGGATCACGCTTCACCGCTTCGCTCTCAGCCGCGGGGTGCGTACCAGTTCACTCGACCCCTCGGCTCGGAGGGACCGCGGCGCTTCTTCGCGTAGCGGATCCCGCGCTTCAGCTGAACCTGCTTGCCGTCCTCCTCCACCGGGCAGTAACCGACCGGGGTGAGAACCAGTTTTGGGGCCACAACATGGGCAGGAAGAAATGTGCCCAAAGCCTTGACCCGTCTGTTCCAGTTGATTTTGCCGGCTCGCTTGGCCAGGTGTTCCTGCCGTTGAACATGCCGATCCATCCATGCCTGGAACTCCTCCGAAAGGCCCTGCACCTGTGCTTGCACCACCTGGGCGTCTGCACCGAAGCGGAGAAGGACCTTGGCCACTTTCTCGGAGTTCCTTTGGCCTCCCGCTAAGGCGACATGGAGGGGGGTCTTTCCATCCTTATCCCTCGCATTCACGTGCGCGTGCCCGCGAGAGAGCAACATCTTCGCGATGTCCTCCTTGTCCTGGCCGGCAGCCATGTGCAAGGCAGTGCGCCCATCCGCGTCTTTGTGCATCACATTGGCAGCCATGTCCAGTAGGTACGAGAGCGGTCGCTCGAATCCCTTGGCTGCAACTTTCTGCAACAGGGTCGTCCTTAAATCATCGCAAGGTGCATCGACAGCTTTGCGAACATCAGGCCCACGGGGCAAAGTCTTTAGAGACCAAATGTGCCTGGCGCAGTCGAATTCCTGGCCCTGCTCTGCTGCCGCGAAAGCACTCGCTACAAGCACTTTGGGGCTGGGAGACGCTTTCAACGCCTTCACTTCGTCCGAGGACAAAGATGGGCTGGGGTCTCTGGAGTTGCATCTGAGAAGTCGCTCTGGAGGTTTCTCCATGCTCCTTCTGGCTGCAGCAAACTTTGAAACAGCTTCCTGCCGATCTCGCCAGAGCGGCGTCTGCGTACCAACCCACCTGGCGAACTGGCAGAGCCGTAATGGGCGCATGATTAATCTGCGCATCGCGCTTCAGTGAGAGATCAGCTCGACTGGCATACTATAGTACATGAGCAAAAGCGGCTGCGGGACTCGGAAGGCTCTCTCAGAATGCCCAGCTCCATGGGCAAGCTTCTCGAGGCAACAAAGGAATCGCGCCGCACCTTGATGCCATGCTCGATTGCATTCCTGAGCTGCTTTCATTTATTATTTATTATGCAATATGATGCAATGCTGGCCTACAGGAGACCTGAAGAAGTTCCATGCGAATGTTTCACGCTGATGCTTGCATCATCTTGCATAAAAGGCACTTCTTGCCACCTCCCATGCGGAGATATGGTGGCGGCCGCGTCTTCCTCTTCGCCTATCTATATGTACACAGAGAGAGAGAGAGAGAGAGAGAGAGAGAGAGAGAGAGCTAGAGAGAGATCGCTGTTGTTCTGGTGAAAGCATCATAGAGCGAAAGACGTTTCCAAGATCTTGCGACTGAGAGGCTGGAAGCGGAGGGACTGGCCTTGGTCATTGCGACACGCGAGGCGAACAACTTAATGTGTCCACCAGCACCAATGAGCGGCGAGCAGCCCGCTGGGCGATTCTCTCACCCGGCCTGGCTTCACACAGTCGCCACATGGAGTCGCGACGGACATACCTGTAACAAATCGCTTGCACCTGCAGCGGGTGCCGTTTCCTCGCAGTGGCAGCTTGATTTCTCGGCCTATTGCTTAAGCTCTGCCTATCCTCGAACAGCTCGTTCCATCCAATGGCAACATCATCATAAAACTCCGCTTCCACGCAAGACCTGAAAAGCTGCTCGTGGCGGACGATATTCCTAAATTGAGGGCTATGACCTCCTCTGATATTTTCTGGCCTGTGCCTCTGCCTCGTACGGTGCCAAAGTCTGGTTCGGAACCGTGGCGTTAATTGAGCTGAAGCGAGGTGGTAAAATGCAAAGGCACGGCCAAGCTGTAAGGGCCGACGGACTGTGCAGGCGGTTGAGGCCCCTGCGATCTCACGCCTCGGGCCGACATGGCAATTTTGCGTGCACGGCTACATCACTGCAAGTCCCGCGAGCTCGGCCGCGAACGCACGCGATTGGTGGGCGCACGCTGGAGCGACGCCTCGAAGAGATGACGACGACTCACAGAAGGCCATGAGAATACATTCGCCGAGGCTGCGGCCCGAGCCATCTCGGCCATGGCAGAGGTACTTATGAAAGAGCAGCGCCGATTCTTGCACTAATCCTTCATATTCTTCACTAATCATTAATCCCATATGTGGGTGCGGGTCAGCGTTGAATCTCTGATGCTCTGCTTTGCAATCCGAGTCTGGCCATGGAACACCATGAACACGGAACCGCGAAGAGAACTGAAAAGCGACGCTGACGGGTGACGGCACATGACGGCACCTGGGCCTCGACCTGAACCGATGTGGCCGGGCGGGGGGCTCACCGCGCAGTGTAGCGCCCCGACGCCACGAGAGTCCAGAACACTGACGTCGGCCTTGGCCTTTGCGGCTTAGAAGAAAACTCCGGCCCCCCCGACCTGACCGTCCGAGTTGGTCCGAGCATCTCGCCGCTAAGAGCATCTCCAAGAAGTCACTGTTGGCACCACCCAGCACCGCTGCTAGAAACGGTGTGAGGCCTCCAAGCCACAACTTGCAAAGCTGCCATTGCATGAGCCTGAGTAATTAAGTCCAGCACCGTTGGAATCGGCACAGTTTGGGTTCGCATCTGCCTGGAACCAAGTTACCCGCTGTCAAAGATCTGGTTTCTACTGTAGGACTGTAAGTTTGCTGGCCTTCAGCAGAAAGGAAGCCATGGAGGCATCCCCTTTGCGACATGCAATGGCCAGCGCGGTTTCGTTCCGGGCATTCGGAATATCGACCTGCACATGCTAATGTACTGTGGGGACATGTGGCGACATGGTGCCATGACCCAGAAGGCCTGCACGAGGCCGACATCCAGAAGCAAATGTGCCACCTTGAAATGAGAACCACAAGCTGGTTTTTCCAGTGGCTCGCGACTCTTTCGGCAAACCCAAGCCGCTCAAGCCAAACCCTCGCTGCGCACCTCTATGTGAGAACCGTGCACGGCATGATGAAGGACCGACTCTCCATACACATCGAAGAGTGCCTGCTGTCAGCAGCTGAGAACCCAGTGACACTGCCAAATGCCAGATGATGCCAGCATCTTCCGTCGCTCCTCCTCGCAGTCGCTGAGCCCCCTGGGGCCAACCACTTTCTGCAGGAATGCCTGACGCGAAAAGGAGGGAAAGGCAGAGCGAGGGAGGAAGCGCCATTATCACCAGAACACCTTGACCGCATCTTCATTCCCACTTCGGCAGGCAGCTGGGAGCTCCTCCGAGGCTCCCCGTGCCCCGCCCCGTGCCCTCTCCACTCCCAAAGACTTGGCTGAACTCTCCCGGACCTCCTGCATCTTGCAGTGTAAATGTGTTGCATTGTCTTGCCAAGTTCCCGATCTCCAGCCCAAACGCCTTCTTTCTCACTTGCCTGCTTCATGTCCGTTATCCCGAGACGTGATGCGATCTGTGCTGGGCGACCGAGACACTCCATGGCTGGCGCGATGCCTTCAATCCGTGGCATCACCCGCTGCGCATGGCAGGCTATTGGCGCTCACAAGCGGCGGCCGCGACGTCCACATTTGCGGCGGGTGCAGTCCGTAGGGATGGGGGTCACATCCTGCAGGGCGCACAGGCGCGCCATGGCGCGCCCAATGCGCACGCGGCTGTCTCAACGGCTGTCTCAAGTCTCGTTTCGGCTCCTCGATGCGGCCGATCTTCATCCCGGAGCGTGCCAAGGCTCGGAGGGCGCTTTGCGCACCTGGACCGGGCCTGGGAGAAGCTGACGAAGATGCTTTCAGCAGTCAGCCCTCTTTGTGCAGACTTGCTACGTGCGGGTCTTCGTGCCACCCGTTGCCCTGAGCTTGATGTGGAGCGCACCGATGCCTCAGAGAAGAAGCCGGATCTCGCAATGCACCACGCCCCAACACTTCCAAATCACGGCCGCGTGGCCGAGTTCCTTGCACCGTGCAGCAACGTCCTGAGCAAGAACGGCCTTATTGTTCGCGATGCACCGGAAAGTCATGTGTCTGTGTCCTGCGCCGCCAACATGGCTGCATACGGAGATGACTCATCGCGGTCGGCCTGCCAATGTCACTCTGCAGTGTACACGTTTCATCAGGATGCTCGCAGCTGCGCAGCAGACCCGCCTTCACTTTCATCCCACCCGTGACGCGCATGATCGTTTCGCGTCCGGACAGGTCCGTCACATGAACGAAGGTGTCGTTGAAGGAGGCATAGATGTGCGCGACGCCGAACACGATCTGCAAACTAAAGCTTCCGCAGGCGCACAATACAATGCAATGCAATGGGTCTTCAGAGCTGCAAATGCTTCACCACGAACAGTCCCTCTCATCTCCCTGCCTCGCCCTCGCGCACTTGAGGCCCAAGAGACACTGCCTCAACTTGCTGCCTGACCTGGCACGCTTTTGGTCATCAGTTTGCATGCTGTGAACGTTTCAATCTGGGCCTTGGGTGCCATGGCGTCTGGTCTGTGTCTACAGGCTGAGTGTACCCCGCTGAGCCGAGAGGCACACGGCCAGCACGCGACTTCAGAGACGAAGGCAAAACGTGGCACAACGATGGCAGCCACCGCAAACAAGCACAAGCGGTTATCTCCTCCGGAGCCGTTCTGGTTGGGACCGTCGCCTCGCTTTGCGATGGGGACCTGGCCTGTCAAGAGGGAGGAGTCAAGTGGCAAGAGGTTTTAGAAAGTGTGTGGGAAACACATGCTTCTGTTCCAGTTCAAGTGCCTCCGGCTCAACTTCCAGCTGCTCTCGCTCAGCTTTCTGCACCTGGTACTTTCGCGAGCTAGCTGCCGTCACAGGCACAATTGCCGGGAGTACGACGTCCTTCGTGCTCCCCACCCCTGGCTCGTCGCACAAGCTCGCATTCTCCTGCAAGCGTCGCCGTCCGAGGATAACTGGAAAAGTCGAGACCGACGCAGACGTGTAAGACTGAGTCTCAAGTCCCCGGATCTGCATGTCCCAGCCTCCTTGGGTTTCCAGGTTTCAGGATGTCCTTCTTTTGCTGCCTTCGGCTTCGGTCTGGGCGGCCGCTTCAAGTCCTGGCACCAGAACTCCCCATCTTTCCGGATCAGCCATCTCTACAATCGCGCCTTTGGCTTTTCAGCGGCTTGAGCTTGCACAGGCTCTGCGCGCTCGGCGGGCTTTGCGGCCTCTGGGACTGAGGATGATGCTTTCACCTTGGCCCAGCTGTAGCGTGCTCATGGTCCCAGTGGCAGGGCTATGCAGGGCTGAGGGATGGACTTCAACCAAATTCACATTCTTCTTGCTTGCACCGCTGCCCATCAGCCAGGACCTTCAAAAGTATGCGACGCGGGCTGTGGGCAGGGCGCATGCGGGCGCGCTTTCCGAACGACGCCTCCAAGGCCTCCTTGGAGGCCTCTTGGGCCTGGCGTGGCCTCTAACTGGAACGTGCTCGTTTTGAGCCCGTCCACTGCGAGCTTCGCTTACAGAGCACCTGTCTCGGGCTAGTTTGCAAAACTCAAGCTACCGAAGCTCCAAAGCCCTCGACATTACTCAAGAGGATTCGCAAACTGCATCGACGAAATGAGGGTATATACTGCCATGAGCTTCAACAAAGCATACGACGCAATGCAAGGAACCGCAAACTCTTGGCAGGTTCAACACAATATCCATGCGGCTCTTGTCGGCAGTTGCTAATCCATCTCATTGCTCCCACTGTGCTCCGTGCTTCTTGACTTAAACTACTGCAAGTTCTATACCCCGGCCCGACATCGGACCTCATGATCAGCAAGCCTCTTGACCCATGCAACAGCATGCTCACTCGTCGGCGCCACCGGTCGACGCACTTAGTGCGGTGCTCGTCCCCATGGATAATCAAAAGGCTCGTGACATGTTCAAGGGCCGCAGCAGGCTGCGCCTCTGGACCATCAGCTGGGATGGCAACAGGTGCCGCCGGCTCAGCAAAGGATATCTTACAGCGCGAGGGCGGAAAGCCACCATCATCAAACTCCGTAAGGACCACCCCATGATCAGAAATGATCGGGGTGCGAAAGGCAGCCGCGAGGGCCCCAGATCTACTGCACACCGTTTTGGAACCGCAAGCCTACGTTTCACCTCCAGAATTTAGGCATGTGATTTTGGGACGCATCGCGTCGTGCTGTTCCACAACACACGTGGAGTGGCCAGCGAACCGAGGGTCCGCAAGAAGAAGAAGGGTACCCGTAGAGGGAGACCACAAGCATGTGGGCCGTGTGGTCCGCCATGGGCCATGCAACAAGCCCTGCTGCGACACGATCAGCATCAGTGTTGAGCGGCAAACGCACCGGTTTCATGGACGAGGGGCGCGCGCTGGTGTCAGGCCCTCACAGGAGTGGAGCAAGGTGCCAGGCGGGCCTGAACCCTATACCCGATAAAGACCCTGAACCTAAGCCCTACAGTCATAAACGCAAACCTTACGTCATGGCGTGGCCCTGCCGCTTTGCGCAGGCCTGGCAAGTCGTCGCAGCTTCGCAGTTGCAGCTAGGACCCCCTGGCTTGCGGGGCCCCCCCATCTGAATTCAGGTACTGTGTACTGATTTTACTGGAACTGCCGGCACATGCACTGCCACTGCTTTCGTCAACGGCACATCTTATGCATCGACGTATCAGTGACAGTTTGAACTACGAGCCTCTGTCTGGGCAGACTCGCCGCACTCACAAAGTCACAACAAAAAGTCACAAGAACTGCCAGGTGAAACGATGTGGTCGATGAAACGCTGCTTCAGGTCGTGGTTTTAATCTTCACCTGAAGGCGATGGTAGCAAAGGCTCTGGTCATGTGCCCAGTTCGGTAAGTGCCCCTGCTCGCTCTGCATGGCTCTGCGGTGAACCAGACAACAAGAGCAGGACATCTTCCAACTCATCCGAATACCGAAATCTCCCCTTGCGGACTCTAGCCTACATGGGCTTCTCTTCCGAGTGGCGGAGGCAACAGCGACTCTGCATCGGAGTGCAGGTCCTGCAATGCAATGGACAACGCTTTGAAGGCGCAGCCACTCTGAAACGCAGTCATGATGGGCCGACCTGATGTCTCCAGTATCGCGGCATGTCCAAAGCTGCACTGGCTGGCTTCAGAGGCACGAAACTCTGCCTGGAGAGCACACAGCTGTGCCTCTTCGGATAAGAGCTCGTCTCTGAGAGCAACACCAAAGAGTGAAGCCCAAGAGCCCAGACAGCCAACAAGTCCATGGTGCAAAGACCTTCGCCGTCAATGTGTAGTCTCTCCCCGTCTATATCTGGGCTTAAGGGACATTACTTTCCAGACATTTTCTTGGTGGGTTCGATCATGCCGAATGCCAATGTCCCCGCAAGCCAAACCACCTGGCGACATTGCACACTCCGACAGCGTTGGTTTCATTTCAGTAGACCCCGAAGCCCGTGTCGAGTTTTGGCTTAAGGCAGTCTTCTGTCGGTGGGCACAGCGGTTTCTGAAGTCTGCTGTCTGGTCTCCAAGCCAAAGCGTAAATTGGTACTGACTCCGTGCTTGTACTCCATGTACTCAGCCCCATGCGAGTCTTAAGAATTCATGGTGCTGCTGCCCGTTGCCACCAGTCCCCGCTGCGGTGCTACCACCACCGCCACCGCCGCCGCCACAGTATTCGACAACCCGACAGAGTCCACTCAGCTCCTCGCCCAGTTGACCTGGACAAGCCCTCGCAGGTACCTCGTTTCCACGAGGAAGGCGCCCTAAACTTGGATCTCTCGGGATCTCCCTGTCAGGACACCTCACTGAATGCCGTTTTCTGCGATCCGACCTTGCCGGGTTGGCCTGTGGCGGCCTGCGGGCCTGTCGCCTTTGGCGTATGCAGGTCGCTAAACTCATGTCATTGCACGTAGCTGCCAGGAGTCTGCATGACCTTCGTGAGTCTGTGAGTGTCACACAAGACGAGTGATGCCTTTTGACTAGTCTGGAAGCCTTTCCGTTTTGACTCCTGACATCTTGGCAGCGACGAGCCATTGACTTGGCGGTTGCATGCGACTGCGGGATTTCGGAGGTCACCCGAGTTCGGTGCTGGCCTGCCGAGCACAGGGGCACAGCTGCTCTGATTTCTGATGGATACTCGACGGTGAGGGTCCCGCAGCTGAGCACGGTACCCTGCAAGGCCACCGGGCTACCGGTTCGTGGCGCACATGAAGCTGTTGACAATGCTGGACCTCGGAACTGCGTCAGGCGCGTGAGGCGGCCCCTTGGGGGGGAGGGTGCTGAGGCTTCCGCCAGGATCGCTGCTCCCGCTCCTCCTGCCAACGCTGCAGAAGCCTGAGACCAAAAAAGGAAGGGGGAAATGGCAGGCGCAGGCGCATCTTCCGGCGAGGCTTCCGGCCTTCGAGCTTTGGCCAGCTCCGTCTCCAGCTCAAGCACTTGGCCTTCCCTCGGACGACGAGCGGGTTCTGCCAGCGCGGTTTTTAGTCTCAGAAATCAGGGGCTCCCACAGCTCCACGACTCGATCACCCGCGGCCTGCAGGAACAAGAGTTAAAGAAACTTTTCTTGGGGGTGTCCCTTCCGTCCCAGGCGCTTTGCAAGTCCCAGCCTTGGTGGATGTCGCACCACTTGCACCCGCCAGCTTGAAACCTGGGAATGCTGAGCAAGGCTGACTGCTCCATCAGGCACGAACATGCGAGTCACGCTGCATATGCTCTTGACGCTCTGCAAATTGTCCCATTGAACATCTCTAACAGCGGAATGGCTGTCGTTGGGCTCACACTACAGGGCACCAGCAAAGCTGACAGAGCTGCAGATGGGTTTTCCATGCCCGGCCGGGCGTTTAGCACAGGAATTGCTGAAACCAGGGCCGAATGCATTGTGTCTTCTGGGTGGCTGCATTCTCGGGTGTAGGGACGGCATTGAGCCCCGGATTTGTTGAAACCAGGGGCTGTTTAGCAGGCCTTGGAAAATTGCATTTGGGCTTGGTCGGAGGCCTCGGGAGCTCGATTTGGGTTCGGAGACTGGGGGCCAAGAACACCGGCAAATCCGAAACAGCTCTACATTGCTTGTCATTGTCCAAGGTTTGAAAAACCAAACTAAAGCATTATCAGTGCCATGTTCGGTTGGGGACGGCGTTGAGCTCCAGATTTGTTGAAACGAAGTCTAAACGCATTTAGCAGACCTTGGAAAAGGCTTGGTCGGTGGCTTCGAGAGCTCAAGGGGCACCAGCAAATTTGAAACAGCTCTAAATGCGCTTTTGAAGCCCTGAAAAATGCATTTTGGAGCCTTGGAAATCGAATTAAAACATTTTCGGTGCGATTTTATTGGGGTGGGGACCGCATTGAGCTCAAATGCATTTGGGCTTGGTCCACCAACAAAGCTGAAACAACTCCAAGTTCGTTTTCCAAGAGTTGAAAAAAGCTTCTTCGGGCCTTACCAAGCTAAAGACTTTTCAATACGATTTTCGAGTTTACGGACGACATTGAGCTCCAAGGCGAAATGCGTTTCGCAGGCCTTGTTGAGCTTGCGCGCACATCAGAGGTTCGAGACTCGCTGTCACTAACGCGCGATTGGCAAGGCTCACGAAAACAATGTGGCCTGGAGAGCTTGGACTTAATGAGAAGAAACAGACCTGCCCTAGAACCAGGCATGCGACCCGGAACCTCCGGAACCGGCCCCGGAATATGCGCGGAACCTCCCCCGGAACCTGCCCTGCACTCGGCAACGGTCTGCTGAACCCGAGTGGGACCAGGCCCGGACCCGCGCCGGAACCGCCCACCACCTTCGCAAAACCCTAGGCCTTGCCCCTGCCCCAAACCATATTTCGGCTGAAGACCCGCGAGCTCACGCTGTTGGGGAATGAAAAACACACATGTGATGAGAGGCTGAAAGCTTTGCTTTACAATGCAGGATTCTGCTCAGCTTCATTGCCGTTACTTTTCTCTGACCCTACAGCCCTTCCTTATGTTGGTGGTGAACTCAGATTTGCGTCAAGCCGTCACATTAGTCATCGAATCAAGGCATCGGTCGTACCTTGAAAGCGTTCAGTATTGCGTTCTCTCAAGCATACAGAGGTCTTACATCTCCCATACGCCTACTAATTAGGGTCATCGGTTGCGCGTCTTCGGTGAGCTGAATCGGTTGTTGTCGTCAACCGCCCTCCCGTGCTAACCATTCTCATGCCGTGCGAAGAAAATTCGGAAGCTGAGAATAATGATCACGCGAAGCTTTCTCTTTTCCTCTGATAAGTACCTCCTCTGTTTATGGAACCTTGTAGGATTGCATGCTCGGGAACTGACCGTTTGGCGAGCCTGCATTCTCGGCATTTGTATCACACTCTGGCATCTGGTTGGTGGTCAGCCTGGGACAGGCAAGACGCTGACAAAAGCAAGGAAGTCAGGCAGGCTACCACCGCAGCGCCTCTCTTCCGCCAGTGTCTTCTCCATTGCTTCAGAGGCTGCCCTGAGCACCATACCAGCAACCAGCATATACCGTTGGAGCCGGGCATGAGACCGGTGCCGCTGCGCCGCAAGCTCTGCTGCCAAGGAAGCCTTCTCGCTTTCCCAGGCCACTCGCGCCTATCACAAGACGC